TTATTTTTTAATTTAAAAAAAATTCATCCAGTATCGTTTCTGGATGTCTACTTTGCGCTCTAGATTCCCCCCCGGGATTTGACGAGATATACGAAGTGTGAAGGTGGACAGCTGCTAAGGTGCAAATCTAGGTCGGGACCGGTTGTATACAAGTTTGAACCATCTTCTTTCCCAGACCCAAATCGTTGGATCAAGTTTCAGGATCGCGCCGTGTCATGTCCTGAGCTTAACCTTATTTCTCTGCTCACGTGCCGCGTACCATGGTTCGTCCGACTTTAATTTCCCTCATCCGCAACTATACACTGCCGATCCGGCGGTTCTAACTTCCATTGTTTCGGGCCTCCCCCCAAAACCACGAAGGAATAAAGAAACGAAAAGGCGCAAAGCAGGACCGATATTTTTTTCTTTCCCCCCTTTTCTTCCTAATATGCAAATTTATCTCCCGTTCCTCTCCGTTTATTCCTCCATCCATAATATATTCGCAACAAGAGACAACCTACACAGACAAACAGAAGCAGCGCCGCGTTGGTCCAGTGGCCGGTTGGATAACCCCTCTTCGCTTCATTGGCTTTATAAATCCACACGCCCACAATCTGCCCCGGAGCTCCGACCGACACGTTCAGGGCGATCGCAAGGCCGGTTCCGGCTGTTGAGCGGAGGTTGGAGGAGAGCCAGCCGAGAAGAGGGGGAATACAGGCGAAGGCGCCGCTGGTGGCTACTATCAGACAGCCGTAGCGGTGCTAGCATATGTTAGTACAAGCCACATAAGCTAGTGAGGAAGCGCGGTCAACGTACGAGATATGCGTCTGGTGGGAGAACGGCAGATGCGAGGAACCCCATTGCCCCGATGAAGGAGAATGCCGCTGAATGAAGGCCGCGGCTAGATACCGGTCGCTCTAAGTTAGACCAAATTGAACTTGCCACGTCTGGGGATGTACACGGCGTACCTATTGAAATGATCCGCGGACCAGGCCGCCGCTGTGGTGACTACGTATGCTACCGCCCATGGCGGTACTGTCATGAGCTGAGCGCGCAAACTGGTATACCCGAGCCCACTCGTAATTGCGGGTGTAAAGAGCGAGAGGCTGGAAAAGGGGGTGGAAATGCCAAAATAGATCTAGACAAAGGTAAAGGTCATGTTAGATCAGATACTTGTCGGAAAGATGTTCTCGGACACAGACGACAGACGCACCACGTAATGAGCGTATAACCGCCAATCTGTGAGGACCTCCTTAGCATCTGCCCATGCCATGGCGTGCGCAGCCCCCTTTGAGCCTTCATTCTGCAGCCGCTGCATCGCGAGCTCCTTTTCCTCTGCACTGAGCCACGATGCCGTCTCGGGGTAATCGGGAAGAAAGAACCAGACCAAGAAGGCAGAGGCACAGGAAGGGGCCCCTTCGATGATAAATAGCCATCGCCATGCAGATAGACCGTGAGCTTGATTCATGTGTCCGACACCGTAGGCAATTGCTCCGCCGAAGCTCCCGCCAGGTAGCTGATGCGAGGATGAGCGCCACGCGCATCGAGCGCTCGGAGTTCCGGTACCAGAAGGTCAGATAGTAAACCAGTCCGGGGAAGAGACCCGCTTCCATAACTGTCAGTGTATAAGTTAGTGTTCATCTATGAAGCAGGTTGGTGCATGAGGACTCTACGCATCTAGGTACCTCCCAGTAAGAAACGAATACCAGTCACCTGCGCGTAATTGTGTGCGCCACCCAAGCCCATGGTGGATGCCCCCCAGCCGAGCATCAAGAAAGCAATCCATTTCTAAGTAATGTGAGTCTCTATGCTCAGGTTCTTACAGCAGGTTCAGTGCCTACACTTGGTCTCAGTTTCTTCAGGAAGTAGTTTGAGGGAACTTCGAAGAGTGCGTATGCGATCAGAAACACCATGAGAGCTATACTGTTGCCTTATTTAGCGAGAAGACGAGATCAGTCGGGAGTTGACGTACGTGTATTGGTACGAAGTCATGCCTGTCTCCGTGAGGAGATCATTGCCCGTATCCTCATTGAGAATTTTGGCATTTCCTGTTCCTTTGATTAGTTACCTGACCACTGACATCACCCTGCAGAGGCGGAGTGTCAATTAATGAAGCATTTGCGACCTACCAATGTTGGATCGATCTAAATAGCAGAGAAGGTAGATCGCGGCGCATAGTGGAAGGATCCGTAGATCTTGCTTCCAGACCAAAGCTCTCTCACGAGGATTGTCACTATCCCGACCGTGGAGATTCTAATGACGGATCAATTAGTATGACAACCCAGGCCGATCCTCTTGTGTTGTCATACCTCGGAATCCCTCTCGAGATCGGCATTCTCAGCAGCTTGGTGGTACGTCTCTTTCTCGTCCATGGTGCCGAATTCGGGTCCCCCTGCAATGGATGGTGAAGGCCAAGCTCCTCCGACTCCCGAGTGACAGGACCTTTTAAATTATGCGACGATCTCGGAATCAGGAAGGATTTGCAACCCCCGCATGAACCAAACCCAAATAGCCGGGAAAAACCTCGCTAGGGAAAGTTACGGCGCAGAGTACAACTGCCTCAGAGGAGTCGGTCAATCTCCGATTAGCGCGTTAGGTGGACACAGATGCGAGCTTGTATATTGCTTTGACTGGCTCCAGCTTCCATCGAACCATTGGTGATTGCAATTAGTGAAATCATCGGCCCTCTCCAGCTTGCTCGGTAAGCTCGGTGGTTGCCGATGGTAGCATGCATGGTTAGGCGGTGACAAGGAAAGATCTGGTTAGGATATTAGGACCATATTACACCCGAAGGTAGTTTCAGAGAGGAAAAGTGCCATTGGATCTGCAGGCTTGTTGCCAGCTCAGCCATCAATAATCCTCAGTCGAGAGAGACAAGGAGATCCAAGATTCCTCCACAGTAGTTTATTTACTCCGTAGTCGGGGATGTGGGGAAGCGCCCTGTACTATACGGTACGATACGTAATTACCAAACGCACCACAATAGACCCTACAAACAGTCCAAACAAGACAAACTTCCCTGATCGGCAGACATTGATTGCTCTCTATCGATAATGAATTGTTGCGGTTTGCGGTCTCGTGCCTCGAATTGACCCTTTGACAGTACGGTCTTCTTAATGACATGCCTTCGGCTCTGCTTAACTAGTCAAACGTTGCATAATCTTTCTAGCGCGATAATCCCTTCGCTACGCCCTACGATTACCCCCGTGACCCTGAGCGGGGCAAGAATCGCAAGGATGTCAACGTCTGCACCGACCACTTCTGCGTCGCGCAAGCCAATGCCATCCGCATTGAAGCTCGATCTGCATGCAAAATGCTCAGTAAGCTGTAACTTGGATTCTTCACTCGGGTTGATCGTTTCTTGACCGGTTCTAACAGTTGCCTCAATCTGCTATAGACCACCAAAGCTCGTGCCAGTACTCTGCATCTTCCCCATGGCTCGGTTCCCCTCCCGATCTTTATGCCGGTTGCGACACAGGCATCCCTTAAGGGTTTGACATATGATCAGCTCAAGCAGACTGGATGCATGCTGTGCTTGAATAACACCTACCACTTGGGGTTGAAACCTGGACAGGCGGTCTTGGACGAGGTGGGCGGTGCGCATAAGTTGCAGGGGTGGGATCGAAATATCCTCACCGATAGTGGCGGGTGCGTTGGTTGTGATATATCCCGGAGAGGAGAAGGTGATGTTATATGCGCGAAGTGAAAGCTGACATGAACCCTAGTTTCCAAATGGTTTCCTTGCTTAAACTTGCTACTGTCACGGAGGAAGGTGTTCGATTCCTTAGTCCTCACGATGGTACACCTATGTACAGTGCTCTCCTACCGTTCCATCTCCAGATCATCGAGGTTATACCTAACAACTGCGAACTAGGCTGCTCACTCCGGAACACTCCATCTCCCTGCAGAACTCGATAGGCTCGGATATTATCATGCAGCTTGATGATGTTATCGCGACCACATCGCCGGACCATGCGAGGATTGAGGAGGCCATGGAGCGATCGGTGCGGTGGTTGGATCGGTGCATCGACGCGCACAAGTACCCCGAGAGACAAAACCTGTTCTGTATTATCCAAGGAGGATTGGATTTAGAATTGCGGAGGAAATGCTGCGCTGAGATGGTGGCACGAGATACACCGGGCATTGCCATTGGAGGACTCTCCGGAGGTGAAGCCAAGGAGGAGTTCTGTAAAGTGTGCGTCAAGATCTATCCCTCCTTCAACCACTCGCTTCTTCCAAAGCCGGGTTCCGGCTAACTTTCATAGGGTCGACACTTGTACTGGGCTTCTTCCGGATCAGAAACCGAGATATGTGATGGGTGTCGTAAGTGTTTCAAAGCCGATTTTAAGCGCTGCCTAACGTGCTCCCAGGGCTACCCAGAGGACTTGATTGTAGGAGTTGCACTCGGTGCAGACATGTTCGACTGCGTTTGGCCCACGAGAACAGCTGTAAGCCTCCCGCCGTTGGCTATTAGAGAATTGGGCATTGATTGACGAATTTAGCGATTTGGAAACGCGGTGGTTCCTTCTGGCACTCTCAACCTCCGCAACCACACTTTTGCCCAAGACTTCAGGCCAGTGCAAGAAGACTGCACTTGCACCATCTGTCGACCCAGAGATCAGGGTGGCCTAGGAATTACACGGGCCTACATACACCATTTAGCGGCCAAGGAAACAGTTGGCGCTCACCTGTAAGATTGCCTCACTCGTCTTTGAAGAATCTTGTGCTAACCATGAGCAGCCTTACGATTCATAATGTGCATTACCTACTTTCCCTGATGGGCGCTGCGCGACAGGCTATCTTGGAGGACCGATTCCCCGCATTCTTACGGGAGTTCTTCAGCAAGCTTTATGGAGAAAAATCCAAGTACCCAGAATGGGTGGTGGGGGCGCTACGGGGGGTCGGCGTTGATTTGATGGAAGACTAGCATATATATCATGTCTTTGAGCATTATAGATAGCGTCTAATGCATATACCATGGCGTCGTGAATGACTTGAATATATCTCGGCCCTAAAACTAGTATGTAAATGGCAAACCAGCAAACGACCCATCACGTGCTCACGTGCCGCGTCGCGGACGCGTGTGATGCGACAACGGAGAAGATCCGAAATCTCTCGATTGAACTTCACATCCTAACTAGAGTCCCTAATACCAAAAGCTCTCCCACAGTTCACAGCAAAAGATACCAGCAAAAATGTCACCCTCCGCTGAGACACCATCAACCGGCACAAGCAACGGCAGCACGCCGAACCCAGCACACAACCCCAACCATGAAGAACACCAATATCTCAACCTCATCCGTACGATCCTCGCCTCAGGTGAATACCGACCCGACCGCACAGGCACGGGCACACGCTCCATCTTCGCACCCCCTCAGCTCCGTTTCTCGCTCTCCAAGCCGGCCCCCAACCCCGCCGACGACCCCATCCCCGTCCTCCCCCTCCTGACCACCAAGCGCGTCTTCCTCCGCGCCGTCGTCGCCGAGCTCCTCTGGTTCATCTCCGGTTGCACCTCGTCCCAACCGCTCTCCGACCAAGGCGTCAAGATCTGGGACGGCAACGGCAGCCGCGAGTTCCTCGATAAGGTGGGCCTGGGCCACCGCGAGGTCGGCGACCTGGGTCCCGTGTACGGGTTCCAATGGCGACACTTCGGGGCCGAGTACGTCGACGCCAAAACCGACTACACAGGCCAAGGGGTCGACCAGCTGGCCGAGGTTGTGCACAAGCTGAAGCATAACCCCTTCGACCGCCGCATCATCATGAGCGCCTGGAACCCCGCCGACCTTAAGAAGATGGCCCTCCCGCCCTGTCATATGTTCGCCCAGTTCTACGTCTCCTACCCCAACGGCCACGACCAGAAGGGCCACCTCCACTGCCAGCTCTATCAGCGCTCGTGTGACGTCGCCCTGGGCGTGCCGTTCAATATTGCGTCCTACGCCCTCTTGACCCATATGTTAGCTCATACTGTCGACCTGCATCCTGGTACCTTCGTTCATGCCATGGGTGATACCCATGTCTACCTCGACCATGTTGAGCCCTTGCAGGAGCAGCTGGTGCGGGAGCCAACCGAGTTCCCGGAGTTGAAGATTCGTCGTGATGACCGCGGTAATGGGGTGGTCGATGACTGGAAGCCGGAGGATTTCGAGGTCATCGGGTATAATCCTCACAAGGCTATCAAGATGAAGATGAGCGTTTAGTTGCGCTTGCTTTTTTACTGCTTTTCTTCTTGTGTCTCGTGTGTGATATACCTTTTTTGCTTTTACTTTCGTCTAAAAGATAGGCTATTTATGAACGTATGCATTTGATGTGATCGACAAATATATAGAGTCAGTTATATAGATTGCTTAACGAGCCGTCATTTAATCCTCATCTTGTTCGTCTGAACCCGCTCCGGAACGCCTGCATGCTGATGCATAACCCTAACGACAATCGCCAAACAATGCGATGGTATCATAACTTCCCTGCAAACGATGTATAGAAATTTGAAAAAGAGCAGAGGTCGTAAGATGAGAGCTTCTTCCCCCCCGCAGTCGAAATTTACTTCCCTAGCATCACACCCGCGCCTCTCATTAAGACGATGGTGTGTCCAGACTGCACCTTGCTGGCTCCGATTGCATCCGAGAACTCGAGGAACTCGCCCGACTCGACATGGAAGATCCGGAGCCGCTCCTTTTCCTCCGCACGATTGTTCACGTTCTCGACCCGCAGTCGCCGCGCCGCATCATCCAGAATCCGCCCGACCTTCCACCGGCTATCGAAATAGAAGTCGCCCTTCGGTGGGTCTACTCTCTGCGTATCCGATGTGCCGACTACATGTAGATAGAGCCGTTTGTCGGCGGGAACGTTGGCGTCGCCCTTGGCAGACTTCTTGAGAGTATTCAGCTGTACCGCCCGTGCCGCGGGGCTATTCGGTTTCGGAGTCGGCGTGAGACTCTGGGTGGCCGCGTGACTCTTATCTTTGCCCCATGTGCGGACCCGAGCGAACATGGAACGCAGAGTCTCGTTGGCGTTGGAGCCTGCGCCAGCCGGCCGACCGCCCAGCGGGGTGATCTTGGCGCAGTCGTGTTCCTCCCGGAGTCGGTGCTTCAGGCAGTATTGGTGGTTGCAGTTGGGGCATCGGACGCCCGGGTCCTTCATCGTGTTGATGAGGGTTTTGCAGTCGAGATGCGCGCATTGGTCGGAGTTGTAGATCGTGGGTTTCTGCGTAGGGAGACTGGTGCCTGGGCTGGTGTTCTGAGCGTTTCGTCGGCGAGCCCAGTCACCGGCTTTAGGACATTTATGTGAGGTTTCGGTACGGTGGTCAAGGCAGAAGGTCCCGCGACAGGACTCGCAGCGAAATGGAAGGAAATCGAGCTGGTTGCAGTACTCAAACTGACAGTGTCGCCCGATAGATTCTAGATCTTTGTCGGCCATTTGCGTGAAAGATTCCTGTGGCGAGGGCCGATCTTTGGACATAGAAATGGGCGCCATGGTGAAAGCAGATGATGCGAGTAGTTGTTCTGAGCGAGAAGAGGGCTCTCTGCCTCCAGTGGACACGATATTATATGATTTTCCTTTTTTTTTTTTTTCGGTTTTTTTCGTCGAAGGTTGGATTAGAATAGGAGAAGACAAGGCTAGTAGAAGGCACCAGCACATGCGGAGAGGGCTTACTCATCAGGGCGGTGGCACGGGCGGGTGGAGAATGCTTATCAGATCTCGGAGATCGGAGATAGGCATTTACAAGATGGATGAGTAATTCAAACAGCACTTAGTTAACTAGATTCAAACGACTCCAACAACTAAAGGGGTATATCAACAAGATTTAATCGAAGCCCAGGGTTATGCAATCTTGCCTGCAAGGGGTTAGGGGTAGAAGTGAGTAAATTATCTGACAAAGTAAGGTTTGCAGGAACGGAGGAAATCAGAACTGGACCAATTATTGAACAGTAGAAGCAATGCACCCCCCCACTGAATCAAGTAGGTGGTCTGCTTGGAGCTGCCCTGTCGTGAGCACTTGCCGGTGCAAAAGGAATCGGGCTGTTGGATGTAAACACCGGAATGCCCGCCTTCAAAGACGGCTCAGAGATTGGTGGGGAATACAACGCATGTTGAGGACGCGTGATATCATGTGTGGCTCCCGGCGTAATAGGAGGAGAGATTGCCATTTCTGGAGGAAGTGTCTGTGATGGGACCGCTGTAGATATTATTGCGGATCTACTATTTAAGACAGTCCCACCAGGGATGCCAGATCCTTCGGCCACCATGTCTGTAGTCGTGGGCGACGATGGGATGGGATTCTCTGCCTCTGGCCTTACAAGAGCCATGTTTGAACAAGCTTCTGATTTATTGACGGGCGCATTCAGTCCCTTCGTGCCTGAGGACTTTTTAAAGGGATTAGGTGTCTTGAATACCCTCTTAGAAGTCTGTCGCTCGCGTTCCCTTTCTCGGGCGGCATGCTCCTCAGGGGACGGCACTTTTAGTTTGATGTTGAGTTTTCGAACGCCTGCTGCCAGACTATCCACATCATCTTGTGGTGTATCTGGTGTGTCCCCCGATAACGAGCGTGATTCAACAGGCACCATCGCCGCTCCTTCACCTGCAGACAAGTTCGTGTATACGGACGGGACCCGAGGTACAGGAGGTGCCATTTTGGGGCTCGAAGGGCGCTTAGGAGTCGCAGACCGAGAGCTACCCGGCCTTCGCGTGCTGGTTACTGACGCCGAGCGAACAGTCTTATCGCCTGAGGCTTTGGTTTCCAGGGTTGATGCTATTGTGGAAGTGGCACTCTTTCTACGGGTTGTGCTGCGCGTATTAGGAGACTTATCGAGGGACGGATCCGGCAAGTCACTGGCACGCTCGATGGTGGTTCTTCGGTTGTTTGCAATGGCCTGTCTCTTTGGTGTTTCTGCATTCGGGGTTTCCGGTAATGGAGTTTTGGGTTTCCTCGCACGGAGTTTCATCCGACTTTCTGCATTCCCAGCCGAGGGGATGCTGGTGTGCTGGGCGGCCGTTTGACGTTCCCGTCGCAAACGTGTGGCCTCTGCGTTGAGGTCTTCTGGTCGACAGCTTGTAGTTTGACGGTGGCTCGGGATAAGAATCCTTGAGAGTTCATGCGTTGCGGTGGCCCAGCTAATAGGCGGCAATGGCGGCGCATCAGTTTCCACGCTGATCTGGGAACCGGTTGATCGTCGATCTCGAGGCGTGGTGACCACTTTAGCAGTAAATGACTGGGTGGGAGCAAAGTAGGTTGGTGTAGACTTCTCGCGGGACTTCAGTGCGGGCGGTGGATATGCTAATGCCTCTAGTTCTTCCAGCAGAGCTGGCGACCACCACCCACTGTCATAAACCGGCAGACCTGATGGCTGTTGCACATTAGCTGAGATGTCAAGCAGGCCCAAGCGGTTGGTCATCTCAGCAGTCAAACGATCGGCCTTGTCATCTACTCTGCCGGACAGTAGGCACGAGGTCGCATCTCCTAGCCCCGACAAGTGGCTCAGAACGCCTGTTGTTAGGGCGCGATTACTGTAGCCTCCTTCCAACACGCTGACGATCCTTCCATCGACTCCCAGGCCTTCTTCTTCCGCCATTCGCACAACATCTGCGGTGAACTTAGCGTAGAATTCAGTAGGCACATTCACCTTGTGTCTTTGCATTCCCGCCCCTTCCCATTCACTTGCGTCAAATCCCGCAGAGAAAAAGATAGCTGCAACAGGTGGAGGTCCATTGGGTGTACTAGCAAGACGCTCAGTGTGAAAGCGTAGGAAGGCACGCGCCTTTTCGATCAGTACCGCATACTTGGATGCGTAAAGATCCCAAAATTCCACTTCGGTCTTCCACTGCTCCAGATGAACATTCCAAACCGACTGCCCATGTGCCTTATCTATGCACACACTCGCATTGCGCACTTTTTCCGGCTCCCCCATTTCGCAAGGATACGAGTTAATGTCGTGAAGACTGAAGTATCCAATAGCGGTCTTCTTGTAGTTTGCTGCACTCCGGGGAGCTGCAGTGGCCTTGCGGTTCTGCTCCCATGCGATTTCCTGCGAACCATCGCCATGATGTAGGTCAAAGTCCAGGATAGCGGCGTGGGTCAAACCGTGGGTCATAGCAGCATAGGAGATGCCTACATGAACATTATTAATCCAGCAAAACCCCGACGGATGATCTGACGAGCAATGGTGACCCGGTGGACGGATGCACACGAACGCGCGCTTCGTGGATTTGGGGCCAAAGACGGCATCCACGCCCTCACAAACACCACCCAAAGCTCCCTCAAATGCGTTCAAGGACTCCGAGCATAGGTAAAGGTCACCTTCATGAAGTGAAGGCGCGTTTTCCATGGCGCCGTCCTTTCCTGCACTCGGAGGTCGGACCAACTCCTTGCCATTCAATGCGAGTCGCGATTCCGCTGTGTCACACATAGTTTTCAGATCGTCCATCCACCTGGAACCATGTACATGCGTCACAGCCGGGGAGCTGAGCGCCATCGACCGCCCCGTTCTGCGGATCTGAAACGGTGGCACGGGAAGCTCGTCTAGGTTCATGTCTGGGTTGGGGGCGAACCTACCCCCTTCATATCGATGGGCAAGACGCACATAAGCTGCAGACACACCCAGAACACTGGCTTGGATACGCTCTGGTCTCTCGACGATCGAGCCCAGAGCTGCCCTGGATGCGCGGGGACGCGAGAAGCGATGGCCATAGCAAGCATCATGAATGACCACGAGCGTTTGAGACTGTAGGTCAGCGGACTGGTGCAGCTCCACCTCTCTTTGAAAATGGTCTGTCGCGATAGAGGCAGCTGTGGGTATGGGAAGCTCATTTGCTTTGGCAAGGCGCGACTTTTTCGACAACATGTTGGGATTACCCAAAGTGGTCGGTATAGTGGCGGTAGGAGAGCTGGAGAGCGACGACGTTGAGTGTTGCGATACACTACGGTGAGGGGATGTTGAGGTTCTGCTGTCGTTGCGGACAGATCGCAGAGACGCGGTGGACGACCGCTTCTTTAGGCTGGAACCTCGATGTTCATCTCTCAGAGAGCTGGAACTGGAGATGCGCCGAGGGGTTGTATGCGCCTGGGATGTAGCGCGCGCGGGGGCATTTGCCGGGGATAAGAGAGAAGAAGAGGAGCACCCGGAGAGAGAGACCGGGAGAGGCGTCGCAAGCATTGACACATCGTTCATGCGAGGCGAACGGTTTACAGGATCGCTGGTGGGAGTTGGTGACGCGAGTGCGTCCAAAGTGGGAGTGAATGATGCAGCTGGAGGATCGTCGCGCTTGGAGGGGTCCATGACGCAAATAGTAGGTTCATTTGGTGTTGTGGCTTTATTAGCGCTGTTTTTTTCTGGCGATGCTATAGTAGACAATTGAGAGCTAAACAATAAGACCAGGATCAGATTAGAAGAAAGGGAAAAAAAAAGAAAAGAAAAGAAAACGATGAAGGAGCAAGTAGAGAACAAAACAAAGAGTCGGGAGCACAAACAAAGACGAACGGGTGCTTGTTTCGTTGTTTCGTTCTCCTCGTTGGATCCCTTAAAACTTTCTCCCCCCCGATAGGTAAGGGGCAGTCGATCCTCCATTCTTCTCTCAACCTCCCCTTTCATTCTTTACGATTTATCTCTGCTAAGGACATAATTTAAACGACAGCGTGGCTTTCCTCGTTCATAATTTTCGATCAATTTCTCCGCAACAATATCCGTAGATGAACTGACCATCTCACCGGCTCAGGCATACCAACGTTAGTAGTACAGAAGAGACCCTCTGAACTCCTAGGCGATCCCCCAAAACACAATAGACGAAAGAGGGACAAGGGCAACTTTTACATCATACGCCCTGTCAAATAAGACTTAATTTCTTAACCAGGGAACATTGTTTGCTCCTCCGAACTGGTCCCACATAAGCAACTAGCCCCTGAGAAGACCCAACCGCGGTAGTATCCCTGAACGCAGGCCTGCAAGCCCTAATTGCCTCGCTAGGCATCAGATGAATGAGCCCTCTATCTCTAAGATTCCGTTACACTGTGTCCCCCTATATACGCTGCTATCTCAGACAGCACGTAAATTATGTTACAGATATATATATATATATATAAAAGGCACCGAATTGCGATTGTTCTGTATGGTTCTCCAATGTTGTCTATCTGCCAGTTAATCTTGAGAGATGCTGGAAACCTGAGTAGGTACTCTAATCGTCCTAAGGTTATGCTTAATTGTCCTTTATTCTCTTGACTCAGTAGTAACATCCGATTTTAGTAAAGTGACAGGTCTCTGGAGTCAGCAATCACTAGTGTTCTCCTGGTGTTCTTATTCTACTCGGGGTTATCTGTATTGCCGTTATAACTTGGGAAGTGTGGTAGTGGGCTCGCTGAGACGCCTCATATTCAACTAATTGATATGCGCTGTCTGATGCTGCAGGTGGTGAAACTCCGATCCCTTGCTTCCGGTGACATTGTATAATCCCCAGATTCCAGTAGTACGAAATAAGTCAAATGGGTTAATGTGTTGGCTATCGAAGCATTCAAAGAGCTGACAATGCTAGCATGACCGACGTTGGTATGGATTCCGCCTCATGAGATAGTGAACTGCGGTCAAAGAATAGAAAATGCTGTATTTATCAAGAAGACTTGGAGGACAATACGCAAGAATGTGGACAGGTTCTACGGAACAGTAGACCAAAGCATGAGTACGTAGGAAAAGTATGGCTGATATATAACTAGTTTGATTTCTACTGTGTTAATTACACACGATGCTAACGTCATTTATACATACACCTGCTTCAAGATCGTGGACAGGTCGAGAGATCCCAAAAGCTCAAATGCCCCATTATGTACTACATTACTGCCAGTTCGCAGTGATCCTGGAGTGTTGACTCGTCTACCATCGAACTCGAAGTACTGTGGCGCTACAGATTCTAATGCCATATGCCGAAATTTGAATGATGTCACCAGTTATTGCTGCTGTTGTCCGATTCAGAAGACGACTGCTCGTGCACAATGAATTGTCCAAAAAAAATAAAACTCATGCAGGACTTGGATTTAGACACTAGGCTTATAGTAAATATTTAGCCAGAACTTACCCCAGATAGAGTTCTACTGCAGAGATACTTTAGGGTCAAATTAAAAAAACTGTTAGAAATACATTATCTATATGGCTCCGGGGACGATTGATTCCAATTGGCGTCAATTAGTCCAAGGGAACAATCTAGTTAGAAGACCAGGATTAGTGAATGATTATTTACGATAATCCGGGTCTGACGTCGAGTTTCTCGGAAACTTAATCAAGACACAAGAGTCGATCAGTCATGTTAATAATTGGAAATGTCAGACTCTATTATCTGGGACGGACTAGGTGTTGATTCTGTAGTGACCCATCAAAAACCATAGCAACAATAGGTTTTTGGGTTACTATATTTATGTACTCTCAAAGAGACATGTCAACTGACCCGCATCAGTCGGCTACAGTTGACCCGACTATCGTCTGTATTTCTGACAGGTGTTATTCAAGAGACACAGCGGTCTTCCCATAACCGTACATTGATAAAGCCAAGAGATATCAAGAAGGAAGAAGGAAGAGGACATAACACCCCTAATCATCACCTGAAGTAACGCCTAAGACCTAACCAAACACCGGTCCCAATGAATCCATGAAAAACGCCAAAATAAAATCGAACACCCAACCCAGACATAAGAACTCGACGATGCAAAGCCAAAAGAAACCAGCCATTGATCTGCGTACGATACCGTAAAGGGAGAGGGGTCCAGACGTCTCAGTAGGTCCGCGACCGCCCGCCGCAGATCTGATACCATTTCCTCCGTGGAGTGAACGAGCCCTTCTCGTCAATCGAAGGGCCGTTTGACTTCTGGGCTTTTTTCTCAGATTTGAACCCTTTGCTGGCATGCTGATTGCAGAAGCACTGCATATGGACGGTTTCAATTGACGTCCCCGGACACATGTCTCGTCTGCGGGCTGCGCAAAGCTCGTGACCGTTATCCTCTTCGCAATGGCACCATTCATAGATGGTGAAGAATTGGCGACACATTATGCTGTTGGCGCAGTTCTTTTCTTCTTCGTTGCTGGCTGTCCTTGCTCTTTTTAACCTATGGGCCCCTGTCCAAGGATCACAGTCTGTAGCCAATCTAGAGGGTAGCTTGTTCTGCAGTTGGTGTTGTAGATTTGTCGGTGTTAAATCGACTCCGCGGGCTTCCGGTAAAATTCGTAGTTAGAGATGTCAATTGAACAGCGCAGAACTGTTTCGAGATGATGTGAAAACTTTTTTCTTTATAATGGTAGCCTCCTTTTATCAATACCCTGGAAAAAATGCCCGTCAAGGGTATGAATGCTCAATTTTAGTAGTCGTGGGTGTAATGGCTGCGGTGCTGTTCCGTCGTTGGGCTGGATCCCAGTTTAGAGCCTTCATGCGATAAACCCCGGATTACTGCAGCATATCTGGTATCAACCAGGTGGATGATAGAACACAACACGGCTTTCAGAGATAGGAAAGGAGGTAAGGGAAAATATTCAATCAATTGACGTGAGATAAACCACCAGGCCAGGTGCAAGAATTGGAGCCGACGGAACGTGGGTGGGGAGGGGGGAAAGACCCTAAAAGAAAACCCAATTGTAGGGAAGAAGCAGCAGGAAGTCGTAGTTCTCAGCCAAGCCAAAAAGGAACAGCAAAACACAAAACGATGATGGCAACACTCTTTTGGGGGGGGGAATAATGGTAGATTAAGTCTTTGACGTCAGCAGTGAAGCCGGTGGAGTCCGGCGTCAACAGAAAGGATCAGTACAACGCTACGAACGGTGATTGAATCATGGACTTGGGCCATCTAGCGCCGAGTCTTCTTTTTCTTTGCTATGTATAGGAAATAGAAAAGAGACGCTGTGTTCCTGTGCCGCCGAGATTTGCCGCTCAGTCTTCTTCTGGGGGCCGAGTGGTCTGCTCCAATTACGTAGTGTAGCCATGTGTCTGGGCGACTGGAGACACTCGACTGATAGGTTATTAAGGGAGAGTGAGAAACTCGTCGCCGAAGCGGCAGACGGTGGACGATGGTTCGGCCAACTGCGCCCCGTTGCGCATCGCGACTCGGGTCTGTCTTGGCTGTCAAAATGGGGCAATTGGCTGAAAAGACTTTGGGACCAAAAAAAGGTACGGCTCCAGTGAGGTCTTACTAAGTTAATGAAGGTCTAGGCTGCAACGATTGCACGCTCATGACTGATTGTTCATTTTATTTTTATTTTTATTTTTATTTGTGGTGTCATTCGTGCCGGACAGAATTTCTTGCTAATGCAGGAACAAAAATCCGTGGAAAGAACCTGGAAAAGAAAGTTCCATAATCAACTTGAATCTGATAGTGTCTGTGAGTGAAATTGGATGGAATGTCTGGTGGGTTCGACAATTCAGTCCGCTGTCACAGGGTCCAACATACTGGCCTGGCCCTTTTCTTTTTCTTTTTCTTTTCCTTTCTTTTCTTTTATGGTTTTCATTTCCCTTTCCCCTTTCCTATTCCTTTTCTCCTTCGGAAAGAGGGGGCACACTATTTAAAGCTGAAGCCGTTAGATTTCAAATAGACCTAGCATTCAAGGTACGAGTGGATCTGACTACCCGTACTAATCCATCATTAGTTTACCTCATCCTCTGTAAATCTTCTGCAGAATCGACGAAAACGGCGTGCGGCTTCCCCGGATAGGCTACACTAAGCCCCAAAAAAGTAAAAGACCACCTGAGATCTTCTGGAACGGAATCTCTCGGAGCCGATCTCCCGTATCACGTGCCCACGCGCAGTCTGTCCCAGCCCCGGTTGGGGCTAGCGCTTCTTCAGTGCTCCTCGGGAAACTCCAACTTTAGATCTGATATTGAGAATCTGAGATACCTGTATAGTTCGTTCAGATCGCTGTTCAACACACATACGCCCCCTCTCCCGGAAACCGGAATTTTGAACCCCGAATCGACAGAACCCTCATAAGATTGATTCGATCTTCCACAGACCCTGCAATGACCTCCCAACCACCATCACAAGAACAACAGCAACAGCCGACAGTCATGCCCGCCTCCCCCACCCGAACCGCCACTCTCCTCTCCAATCTAGGATCAGTGACGTCGCGCGTCACCGCAGCCGCAACTAAAGCCGCCACAGAATCAAGGCCCATCCGGCTCATCGCTGTTTCCAAGCTCAAGCCCGCCGCCGACGTCCTCGCCCTCCACCAACCGCCCGCGTCCCACCTGCATTTCGGCGAAAACTATCTGCAAGAGCTGCAGGAGAAGTCTAAGTTGTTGCCGCCTACCATCAAATGGCACTTCATCGGCGGTCTGCAGTCGAATAAGTGTGTGACGCTGGCGCGGGACGTACGGGGTCTCTGGGCCGTCGAAAGTGTCGATTCCGAGAAGAAAGCTTCCCTCCTCGATAAAGGATGGGGGGAGCGATCCGAGGAGCTGCGCGCAACCGACCAAGAGTCTCAGTTGCGGGTGTTCGTGCAGGTCAACACCTCCGGGGAGGAGAATAAGTCTGGGGTCGATCCCGTTTCCGGTGCGGTGTTGCTTTGTCGCTTTATTCGAGAGAAGTGTCCACGACTTAAGCTACAGGGGGTGATGACGATTGGGGCTATTGCAAGGTCGAAGGCGACCACGCCTGAGACGGAGAATGAGGATTTTGTGTGCTTGCGGGAGACGCGCGATCGGATTGTGCGGGAGCTGGAGCTGGAAGGGGAGGATGCCCGGTTGGAGTTGAGTATGGGCATGAGTGAAGATTTCGAGGGCGCTATTGCCTTGGGAAGTGATGAGGTACGGGTGGGAACAACCATCTTCGGGGAGAGGCCGCCTAAGGACCAGGCGAAGGTGATCTAAATATAAGTGTAAAATCTGGGCTGTGTTATGAGTTACGACTTGCATTCAAGGGGGTCCCGGTAAGCCAGACATAAAAGTACAATGAGGCCTTGACTGGAGCATCCTACTGGTACTGGTGTAGATAATAAGTTTATGTGATAGTATATTGTAGATGTTGAATATATACCTCTTTATATCAGTATTCCATAAATACAAGTCACTACCTCGCGTTCCTGCCAAGGTAGCGAATAATAAGGGAAAAAAAGATGGTGATAAAGGATTTACATTATTAGATGCATTATAAACTTTAAGTTTCAATCGGGAAGGCCCGACCGCAGTGCCATGGGCTATGCATAACGATCGGATGTGTTTCCCTGCGCCAATATCTGCTCCATCTGCTTGGCCAGCGCTTGTGGCACGGCTTCCTGTGTGGCTCGGATGGTGATGCGATACATCTACGGAAAAGCATGTCAGTTCATATATCCCATATTTCCCCTCGGATAATGAGAGAAAACTCACCATCTTCTCATAATTAGGCTCCAGTCGTAGAAGACATCCTGTCTTCCCTGTGCCAAAATGGTACACAGCACAGCCTACAATGTTCTTCGGGTTGGGGTCCACATTGTCAACAATTCTCCAACCGAACCCTTCCACCGTCTGCCGCGTGAATGTCTCGTTGATGTCCTTTGCTTTTGCTAATACCCCAAACGTATTCTGTGCTTCAAGGGGTTGCCCACCGATCTGTCTCCACCGTTTAAAGAATTCTTCAGCCGACAAGGTCGACGGCTCCAAGTACCGGTGCATGAGGACGGGAAGTTGTAACGTATAGGCCTGAAGGGAACCTGCAAGGTAAGAGATGCGAATGGTAGGCGCATCAGTGAATGGGCCATGAGCCTCAAAGAAAAAAGTTTGCTGGGTTTGACTGGCAGCAGGAAGAGAAGGCTCGGGTAAGCTTTTGGTGTCTACTTTGAGGTTGGGCGCTGCACGGTTGTCTAGCGTCGTCGTTAATGATCCAATGGGAAAGGACGACTTGTTAGAAATGTAGATTTTCACCACGCCCATATGACCACGGTACTCGGATCGCAAGCCAACCTGAATTTGAGCATCCTCAAACAGCACACCTTGCTCCTTGAAATATAACCGGTTGTACCCGATATCCCAGTCCGGCGTAAGATGGGCTGCGCTGGCCATGTTAGGAGGAGGCGGAGTAGATGAAGCGCTGAGGTCCAGTCCTGCTAGGTCCCCTGTCGCACTTGTTGATACTGGCGATGCCGCTGTACCGTTTGTTCCAGTGTTAGTGCCATTGACAATCGTAGTAAATGTACGCTTAAGTCCAGTATTTTGCGCCATAAGGACCTCCTTCTGATCTTGATTAGCATCCTTGCCACCAACAACCCAGGTCTTCTTATCAGTTGTGCCAGCCGTCTTCTGGTGAAGCCGAGAGAGGAGAATTGATGCTCTCTCCGAGAAGGGTGGCATCTCGTCGCAAACTGTCCGCAGAAGATCGTCTGTGGGAAGAGTCGCCAGCGACAGGTATTCAAAAGCTCGTTGTTGAAGTTCTGAGTCGGGAGAGTGACTATACAGCCGGAATATATGAAGAAGCTGGGGTTTGATCTCAGGAAAGAGGTTGACGAATTTAATGAAAGATGAGAGAATCATCGCGCGGGTGTTGTCGGTGCTGGTAATCATCTTGGCTTGCAATGCCAGGAACTGTTCGATGGGGCTGGAGCCTTGGTTGTCCGCAATAAGATGTCCAAATTCGCCCAGAACGTAGCATCCAATCTTCACCAGGCTTTCGTGGCAGTCAGTCTTTAAATAATTGAGAAGCGTGTGCGCCGCATAGGCCTGTAGCTCCTCGTTGTTCGTCACGATCTGGATCACTCGTTGCCACACCTCATCGTTGACATGGTCACCCGCCAAAGACAAGAGCTTTAAGGTCATGTCGATGTACCACTGGGCGTCAGTAGCATACTTTTCTGTAAGAATAGCAACCTTCAGTACCATTTCCTCCCTAATCCCGTAATCGGCTGTTTGAAGATACTTCAAAAGCTCATTGACAATTGGGCCGGCGTTCGTTGTGTCGCACATGCTGTAAATCAGGTCCAGACCCTTGCGGCGAACGCTGATGTCCCTGTCTCTAAGTGATCCAAGGATAATGTTCTGGTGTTTCTTGATAGGATCAAGAGTCTCTGCCCTGGCTGCGAAGTGCGTCATAGCCTCGAGGCCAAGGTACCGAACGTTCGTCTCCCGCGATTGAATATATTTGCCTAGACGTGACGAGACTTGCATCATGAGACTGTGCTCAGTATCAAGGTGAATGAGGAGGTTGATGGCTTCGAAGAGCACTGCATTCTGCGCGTTGTTCTGCTGGACGTTCTTCGGCGTGTCCATAGCTATATTCATGACTTGCTGTAAAGACTCACGGATAATCTCGCGGACATGACTGTCCTCTGCGTTGCATTAGTCAGGATAAGAAAGGAATCGTTGGGCCGAGAAGATGATACCTGATGGAGGGTAGTATTGCAGCAGCCGTAGCAACTTGACCTGAATCCATGGACACGGCACACGATAATAAAGGTAGTCCGGAGCAACATCATTATCAACTACGATTCTCTTCAGTCGCTGGGCAGCCTTAACGTAGCTCCCTCTGTATTCTTCTGGTTTGTCCTGGGCCAATGCCATGACCAAGGAGGTGACAGATAGGGTGACACCCATATCTGGATCGTCCATCAAAGATATTATCCGCTCAGCCCACTCGATTTGCACGATACCGGGGTATTTGCGGTATAGACGGAGGAGTGTTAGGGCAGCCTTCTTCTTTACGAAGGCCTTGGACGTGCTGCAAGCTACGTGTCAGTTTAGTTCAAGGCAGATGAGCATATCAAGCCAAAGTACAAAGATTAACACAAAAGCAGGGATATGAAGAGAAAGTGAAAGGGGGGATGACTTACGGAGAAATCAGCAACCGGTGAACATCAGTTGACAGTGCTTCACCCATTTCCCTACCACCGACGTTGGCAACGGCATGTAGCGCCAAACAATTATTCAATTCATTATGGTCCAACAAATCCTTCCTAATACTGTTAACAACAAGGTGCAATAGCTCATGCTGCTCATGGAAAAATAAAGTCACGGCCAAGTACCCGATCTGCTTCTCCGAGTACTTGGTGGAAGATATCAAGTTGACGGCTTCCAGATGACCGAAGTCAACATCGTACCCCTGGATGTAGACATAGAGTAATTTGCAGACGTATTTCTTCTTCTGATATCCATTGAGACTTCCACCCTTGAACTTTTGTCGGATATTGGCCAATTCCTTGTTCACCCGTTTCTCTTCCAACTCGCGCGCTCTAGCATTTCGCAAGTCGGCAATAAACTGGACCAAGCCTCGCATAGACGACATGTTGATTGATCTATCATAGATATTGCAAGCAGAATCGGCAAAAAGTGGGTAAATAATGGGACACTGATTCGTCTCCGGCGGGAGAATGGCCGTCTTGTCTTTTCGTTATTTCGTATGTGGTAAAAGGAAAAGACACCACGTCGGTGAATTCAGTCAGCGGGGCAGCGTCATAAGAGCATATCCTGGCTGTCTTGATTAGACTCTGACTTATGTATTTTCCAGCTCTCCGTCAAATCCCTCTAAGGTGCATGGAGCATGGCGCAAAACTCGGTGCAGTATGTCTCGGGATCTAGGTAGAGGGGATCAGATAACGCGACAAGGGGCAAGATGGAGTTCAAGTCGGCGCGGGCTTATCGGTGGCCGTGGCAACGAAACGATACAGAAAACGGGAGGATAGCCTTGTTGAACTTAAGTCGAATGAAGGAGGTTGAACACCAGTATAAGGTCCAGCATTCAGATGTTAGTTCATCAACAGCTGTACCTCTTTTAAGGAGCAAAGCAACCGCCTCTCTGGGTTGAGCCACTTCCGCGGCCGATCCGGCGGAGATTCCGCAAATGCGGGAAAACGTTGATGCGTTGTGGCGGTGTCTCCCTATATGTAAACAATGGATGGATGGATGGACATCCTAAAAAAGGCTGCAAGAACTAGGCTTCGGAAAGTGAAGCCGCAATGGAAATAATCCAGCAATAGAAACCAGGCCTTGTTTCCCTATTCAGGAGGTGGCGGAGGAACTGGTGAAAACGCATAGTATGTGGGGAACCGACTTGCTTGCAGCCCTGGGAGCTGTCATAAGCACCTGGTTGGAAGTTTGGCATGACTATGAAAGTTTTTGTTCTCTACCGCTAGTCCTCACAAGCTTGGAAGGATAGGCGAGTTTGTATTCAGCGTGGAGAGCTACCTGCTAGTCAGAGACAGTCCTCACTTGCCCTAGCCCAGATGGAGCAAACTTTCATTTGATTATTCTAACAAGTAAACCTAGCAGGACCATAACCACTGCTGATGCAAATCGTTCATAGCAATACAATCAATAAGTCGTGATGTAGTCTTGAGCGCCAACCAACACCCTCTGAAAACTCCAGGAACGAATCCAATGATGATAACAAGACAAAAATAGCAACCTAGTAAAAAAGTGAAAAGAACATTTATGACCGGAAGCGGGATGTGAAGTCAGTTTCAAAGCTCTCGATGGCTGCGTCGATAGCTTCGGCCTTCTCACAAGTACAGGAACCTAACAAACTTGGCATCAGTAAATAGCTACAAGTAGCCGGTTTTTACGAGACAACTCACAAGAAGGCCTTTTACCGCATGCGCAAGCCTCGCCCGATACGGGATGGTTCTCACTTGGTGCGCGTTCGCATGTACATTGTCCAGCTGGGCGAGCCCCTTCAAGAAGAGTGTTAGTGATTATACATTGTCACATAGGGTGAAAAATAAAATACATACTACATGAGCACCGAGCCCCAGAGATAGTGTTTTCGGTAGAAGCCTTGTTGCAAGTGCAATGAAGAGCGCTCTCCTTGCCGCAGGAGCACTTGGCTTGAGCTGCGCAAACGCAGGATCCGTCGCCGGAGGTTTTGCAACAGGTGGAAGTAGGATGAACCATTGTGAATTGTCGCCGGTCTGGTGATAGTAGAGCACTAAGCAAGTAATACTTGGTTCTGGATGTATGACGTAAAGCCGAGGCGGATGCTCAATCAAAATGAACAAGTCAAGCTCGAAGACGCAGAGCACTGAACAGGACGATTCGTGATTTCAATAATCAAGCCAAATATATCCAGTGAATATATCGGTTTCTGCTGAAAGAGAAAATGAAAGTGATAAGGAAGATTGTAGAGAAACTGGATATTCTTTGATTTTTATACTTCCAACCCGGAATCATAGTTCAGAGGCAATTAGCAATGGCTGCACGCTGATTGGCTGACTGGATGGGGTCCCGTGATAACGTCACCAATCATGCAACGCCTGTTGTTGGGCCATCGGTCATCGTTGGCGCAGGGATTACTTTCACACGATGCTGATTTGACAGTCTCCTTCAGGCAATGCTTCGAATGGAATCAAATCGCCAGGTAACCTAAAATCTTTCAATGTCTACTGGTTCGGCGCTGATATAGTACCAAATTGAGTCATAGTTGGCTTGCTGAACTCGAGAGCTGGTGCCTACTGATAGAGCCATGCCTGCCAGACTCGCATATATACTGAAGTACGGGTTGAAGCCTTTTGCCAGCAACAGTTTACCCTACTACATAGCCCCACCTCAGTCAACATCTGGGTGACACTTTCTATCCTGCATGTCGAATTCATCCGGCTTACGTGGGTTCTTGTATAGTCTCAAATAGCCGGAGTAGAATTCAAGTGTCCGGTAGGTAGTACTATATACTGAATAATATAAACCCTACATCAAAAGTGATCAGTAGGTGTATTCTCCAGAACAAAATGGACCTCTCTCTCTCTCTCTCACACACACACACACACACAACCACCAATCCGAT